CAATCTTTGTCTGATTTTATTTTTGATGTCATAGACCAGCTGAGCGGTGCCTCTGATGTTTAAGTGTGTACCATCATCATCAAACAATTCGGAATTTGCCGACAATTCATTATGTTTTACGATTGTCACTTTCTTGCGTAATTTCATCTTGTTGAATAAAAGTAGGTTAAATTCTTGCACATTATCATTCACGTTCTTGTTATTATGACGCTTCAATACATCAGAGATTACTATATTTGCATTTGGCATATTGTTAGTCGTAGTGTCTACTAGTTCAACCATTTGGTCAATGCATTCAGCGGGCGATTTCCCACTCATTAAATCATTGGTTCCTATGTGATATACAACAGTGTCCACTGACGGTGATATGAAAACTTTAGCTGCGTCAATGGCCTGTGCAATGGTATATATTTTACGATGGTCAACAGAGGTACGCGGGAACATTTTACTAGCTTTGACATGACGTGTAATAGAATCGCCTACAATTAGTTTGTTTGCGTTTATAGTTTCATGATGAATGTCACTCCCCTGCTGGGATTTACAGTTAGTTCCATCAAGACATTTTTCTGGTTGGGGACTTTCGTCATTTGTTTCAGCTTTCGTTTGAAGAGGTTCAGTGTGGCCTAACCCTGTCATACAAGCCCTTTTGTTAAACTGTTTTAGTATGTTTTTGTTTACGTATTTATGAATTGTTATTTAGTTATAGATTGGACTATGTTCTATTCAAAATGAATAATGTCAATGAAGTTAAAGTTGTACATGTCAACTAACCATGTGTCGAGTGCGGTTTAGGATTGCGTTAAAGTTCGTTTGAAGCTGTTCATTGTCGCCCTTCCAAGGCAATTTGGCAGTAAATCTTTCATCTTCTTTTTTCAAACAAGTTTGAGTGTATTGCTTTAGTTGTTCGTTAGGCGTAGCCTTTTAGCGGGTCTGGTTTATCTCGTCTTTTATCCTTATATATTCAGTCGAGATCCCAGCATGAAATAACATGGTTGTCAAGCATGGCGTCGCTAATGGCGTCTGTAGTAACAGACAAGTCCGCGGTGTGTTCGTGCGTTGTTTATTATGATGTAGAGGTTCAGACAGCAAATATCCTAATGGAGAGTTCACGGCAACGGGTCTGATCCCTTTAAATTAATGTCACCAATGAAATCCCAGTACCGATCCGCTCCGATTAGAATGTCAATATTCAACGAATCATCGTAGGAAACAGGGTGAGCAAGTCGTAGTTTGGGCAGATAGTGTAATAGTCCATCTATAACGCGACTGATTTTGTCTTCAAGGAAACTTCCTAAATATGTCAATTTTTGTACATTTGACAAACAGCAGTGAAGTTGTCGTTGAACTGTGACCATTTCAGCGTGTTGCCGTGGACAGTCAGTATTTCGAGCTTTGATAACTGCATGGATTTGAACCGTGCAGTCGAAGTCGTCGCGGCGGCGACAGGATAACGTTACTTGTTTGTATGTCTTCCCTGGCTAGTTTACGCTTGTACTCGGGGCTGTTTTAACGTAGAAATTGGAGGTTTCGGAACTCGGACGGAGCCACTGAATTCGTAATTACTCAGTAATGTCGGTGTTTTCGAGATAAATTTGGCAATTGATGGTAGTCAACTCTTTCAGGCGGTTTTCGGTGATCGGTAACATAGCGTGAATTGCGTCGTTTGCTTCTATTTGTTGACTTCTTGCAGCGCTGAATTTTCCGATGGCTGTTCCAATCTTGTTTGGTGCTCTCGCGAGCTAGGAACGGGTGGTCATACGTCTACCTTTGAATAACTCAAGATCACTTTTTGCAATAACAATAACTCTATCAATGATGTGGGAAAAGTGTAGAGAGGTTTGGAATATTGGGATGATGACAGAGGGTATGTCGTGTCAGACTAAACAAAATAGTAAAACTCGGTTGAGTATAGCAATGACGTATTGTAACAACAAAACACAGACTGGAATGGCAAATTAATAGCAAGCAACGTGATAACAATTAGTAAGATTCACGTGTACTTGACAAAATAACTCGCACTAAGCGATCATTGGTCAACAGTTTGTATACTTGACATTGTATCAAGGTTGAAAGCATCTTCTCTCAGGTTCACATATACGGCAGAAATGACTTGAATGGTTTCAGTTGTGTTTGCTATTGAAATACGTGCAAATGTCACGATAAATGTAGAACATAGTAAACAAACGAGTGTTTAAACGATACCCCCCTTGCCGCTTTAAATCAGATGACATATTATTACCTATCTAAAACAACGTTTTGTCTGACTACTGGGTTGTCTGAACAAAAGAACACTTCCGTATTTTTATAATTCGTGTATTTTGTTTATACTAATATAGCACGTGACAAATCTATCGTGTCAACAACAAAAACTATTATACTGTAACTATGGTAACTACGCTGTGAAATACCGGTAACACGAATATTTCACGTTAACCACGTAACCTCTGAAATCAACAATGTCATCAAATACCGACCGTAAATACGTTTATACGATGTTAGAACAAGCTCCGATTTGAGTCTTGCTTTATATATCAAATTATACA